TCCCGCGCCCCCCGCAAGAAACCCCCCCCGGCCGCCGGCGAGCCCGGAGACCCCGCGGGCGACCCCCACCCGGGGGGCGACCCCCACCCAGGGGGAGAGCACCCCCTTTTAGGGGGAGACCCCCACCCAGGGGGAGACCCCCATTTAGGGGGAGACCCCCACTTAGGGGGAGACCCCCCCGGCAGCGGCTGCTCCAGCACGGACACGGCGAGCGAGCACTCGGCGGACGAAGGAGGAGGAGGAGGAGGAGGAGGAGGAGGAGGGGGGGTGGGGGCGGGGGTTTTGGGGGTCTCAGCCCCCCTTCCAGCCCCCCCCCCGGCGGCAGGAGACCCCTCCCCAGCCCTGGAAGCGGCGTTCCGGCGGCTCCGCTGCCAGCGCGTCCTGGCCCGCCGCGACGGCGTTTTCCGCCCCGCCGTCCTCAAGCAGCTCCGCCGGGGCCACGAGCTCGGCGTCCAGTTCACCGGGGACCGCGGGCTGACCTTCCTGGAGGGGGGCTTCCTCGGGGACCCCCCGGCCGTGGTGTTGGACTCCACGCCCCCCGCGGGGGCTCTGGGGGTGGGCACGGCGGTCTGCGCCCGCCTGGACCCCGCCGAGACCCTCTACAGACCGGGCACGGTGGTGGAGGTGAGCGCCAAGCCGCCCTCGTACCGGGTGCGCTTCGCCCCTCCGCCCCCCGCGCCCCCCGTCTGGGTGCCCCGCTCGGGCTTGAGGCTGCTGAGACCCCCGTGGCCGCCGGGAGACCCCGGCCCGCCGGAGGAAGAGGAGGAGGAAGGCGCGCCGAGGCAACCGGAGGACGCCGAGGTCTCCAAGCTGAGCGCGGCTCCGGTGCCGCCGCCGCCGCCGCCGCCGCCGCGCCCCGCGGGGGCTCAGCCCCCCGCCGCCCCCCAAGCCGCAGGGACCCCCCAGCCCAAATACAAGAAGGGGGACGTGGTGTGCACCCCCAACGGGATCCGCAAGAAGTTTAACGGCAAGCAGTGGCGGCGCCTGTGCTCCCGGGACGGCTGCACCAAGGAATCGCAGCGCCGCGGATTCTGCTCCCGCCACCTCTCCATGCGCACCAAGGAGCTGGAGGGGCTCCCCGAGGCTCGCCCGGGACCCCCGGCCCCTCGAGGGGGCAGCGCCGACTTCGAGTGGGGCGACGAAACCTCCCGGGAGAGCGAGGGCGACGCCCGGGCGCGGCTCGGGGGTCCGCACGGAGCGGCGGTGCCGCCCAACCCGGATTTGTCCCGGTTCGAGTTCGACGAGTGCGAGGCCGCCGTGATGTTGGTGTCGCTGGGGAGCTCCCGCTCGGGCACCCCGAGTTTTTCCCCGGCTTCCACCCAGTCCCCCTTCTCGCCCACCCCGTCGCCGTCGCCCTCGCCGCTTTTCGGCTTCCGCCCGGCCAATTTCAGCCCGGTCACCGCCTCGCCCCGGGCCCGCGGGCGGCACCTGAGCGCCGGGACCCCCCGACCGGGCGAGGGGCTCAGCCCTCCGCCCCCTCCTCCTCCTCCTCCTCCTCCTC